CTCAAGGTTCAAATCTCTACTCTGCCATGAAGTTCACAGATGACCTTGGGCCAGTCAGGGTTGCTGCGAGGATAAAATAGGGAGTGGGCAAACTATGTATACCACCTTGAGCTCCTTGGAGGAAAGGTGGAATAGGAATGCAATTGAATTTAAATAATACATTTGCCCTGATCCAATGGAACATGCAGCCATGCTGGGGGGGGGGCAGCTAAAACGCAACCGGTCAGCTGTTTGGGGAAATAGTGAGGGAGGGTATGAGCCCTGAAATATCAGCATGAATGCACCCTAAAGCTGAGATATTCCAGACCTCCTAAATCCTTACTTGGATATTCCTGTTTTTAGTGTCTGCAACAGTGTTGTTGTGAAAATGAAATGGGCTAACTCCAATATGTGCTGCTCCTTGACTCAAAGGTAAAACAAGTCCTTAATAAAATGAGTAAATAAATAATAGTGAGCAAGAAGAAGAGAAAACCAGGAATCTTAAACGATGGAGTAGTTAAATAAAATGGAGAAAGGGGGAGGATGAAGAGAGGAAGATAAAGGTGGTGGGTGAGAGAGTACAAGAATTAAGAATTCGCAAGAGACTGCTCCAGGATCTAAGAAGATCAAAAAGAAAACTTGCCCTGGAAATGAAGAACAGGAGATGCAAGTAAACAGGAATATTCAGTCAGTTGGGGCTTGCAGGGGAAGATAAGGGCAGGGGAAAATGCAGAGTTAGCTAATTATAGCCAAAGGGATTAAAAGGAATAAGTGGCCTTTTACAAATATATCTGGGGTGGGGTGAAGAACTTGGCTGAAGGGTAGTGTTGGTTGGAAGTAAGGGATGAAAAGGAGACAAGGTGGACATGGGAGTCTCAATGTAACACGGCTATCTCTCCCTGTACTGGAACTCCTTGGACGAAGGCTGGGACAAACATATTCTGGGAATAAATGAATACATACATGCATGCATGCATACATAAACAAGAAAGAAAGAAAGAAAGAAAGAAAGAAAGAAAGAAAGAAAGAAAGCAAACTTGTCAGAACTTCCAAATAAATTATGAATAGCAAATATGGAAGAAAAAAAAAAGATTCAAGCCTGGTTCAGAACTGGAACTAGTTTCAATGCATTTACTTGCCTTAATGGCAGAATGGTTTTCCCTTCAGTTTCAACCCAGTATGTGGTGCCTCCATATACAGTGGTACCTCGGTTTAAGAACAGTCCGGTTTAAGAACGATTTGGTATATGAACTCTGCAAAACCAGAAGTAGTGTTCCGGTTAGCAAACTTTACCTCGGTCTACAAACGGAAGCTGAAGGGTGGAAGGGCACTGGCGGCGGGAGACCTCATTAGGGAAAGTGCACTTCGGTTTAAGAACGGTTTTGGTTTGGTTTAAGAACGGACTTCTGGAATGGATTAAGTTCATAAACTGAGGTACCACTGTAGATAGGTATGTGCAGGGAAATCAGATTTTTCCTGCACTTGGACAGCAATATATATTTATTGTTAAGTCGCATTGGGATGTTTTACTAGAAGCAATTAACAAATGAAACAAGAATATATAAATAATATTTTGCTTCTAGACAATGGCAAAATGCCCTCCAGCGGGCATGTCAATTGCAGCTTGAAAAAGCTTCATGGGCAACTGTTAACTAGCAATCATGACATCAATGGAGCTGTGCAACACTGTCCTCACAACATTCGTGTGGCATACTGAGCAATTTGTACAACAGTTTTTAAATGTTCTTTATTTTCAGCTCCTTTGAACTCCCCGCTGTGGTATTGCACTGAAATCCTTTTTTAATATCATGCGGCTCATCTTACCAACTGCTTTTCTTGCTTCTTTTCTCTCCCTGATTCCAATATCCTCACATCTCTTGCCCCTTCCCCATTCCTTACTTGGGGCCAGGATATTGCACTACTATAACTCTGCCCTGTTAAGGATTACCTTAAAATGTAGGATAAAAGGATACTGATTTGGGTTTGCAGTGTTTTGACACCTGGAAGAGCCAAAAATATGTGTGATGCACATCCACAGTTTGCTCACACATTTACATATAGGTCCATAAATGCATATGCAGAGTACATCCACCTCTACATAATTAAAGGTAAAGGTACCCCTGACCATTAGGTCCAGTCGTGACCGACTCTGGGGTTGTGCGCTCATCTCACTCTGTAGGCCGAGGGAGCTGGCGTTTGTCCACAGACAGCTTCTGAGTCATGTGGCCAGCATGAAAAAGCCGCTTCTGGCGAACCAGAGCAGCACATGGAAACGCCGTTTACCTTCCTGCCGGAGCGGTACCTATTTATCTACTTGCACTTTGACGTGCTTTCAAACTGCTAGGTTGGCAGGAGCAGGGACCGAGCAATGGGAGCTCACCCCGTCACGGGAATTCGAACCCCCAACCTTCTGATCGGCAAGTCCTAGGCTCTGTGATTTAACCCACAGCGCCACCCGCGTCCCCACACATTTACATATAGGTCCATAAATGCATATGCAGATTACTTCCACCTCTACATAATTATCTCTCTCTCTATATATCTATACATATAGATATATATAGAGAGAGAACCAGGCAGAGGGCCTTCTCGGTAGTGGTGCCCACCTTGTGGAACGCCCTCCCATTGTCAAGGAGATGAGTAACTATATAACCTTTAGAAGACATCCGAAGGCAGCCCTATATAGGGAAGCTTTTTAAGGTTTAAGGTTTGACTATGTTTTTATATATGTTGGAAGCCGCCCAGAGTGGCTGGGGCAACCCAGTCAGATGGGTGAGGTACAAATTGTTGTTGTTGTATAAATAAAGAAAATTGATAACCTAGAATAGCATATAGGATTTTCTAAAGCAGGAATTGGGAATTTATGGCCCTTCAAACGTAACTGAACGCCAACTCCCATCAGCCCCAGCCAGCATGGCCAATGCTAATGAATAATGGGAGTTTTAGTTCAGTAGTATCTGGAGGCTGGCAGGTTCCTCATCCAAAGCATTATAATTATGAAGTCAAGCATGCGTCTTTATTACTCCGGAGCTAAATTGCATGATTGCTCTGGTGTAGCGCCTTTCAATATGAGTAAAAAGGGGGTTGTTGCCTATTATTATTATTATTATTATTACATTCTCTCCATTTCTTCTCCCTCTCCCTCCTATTCCTCTGCTTGATTGGAACTTAGTGCCTAACAGTGCAATCCTTTGCATGTCTATTCAAAAGTTAGCACATTGGGTGGTATTTAATAAGGTTTTACTCAGAGTAGACCTATTGAAATTAATAGATCTGACTTAGCTATGTTGATTCATTTTAGTGGGTTTATTCCGGGTAAACCTTAGCTCAAGACCACCCATGGAGCTCCATGGGGCCTAGGAAAATGTGTATTATATTGCAGCCTATAAACAATTACCCTGGAGTAGGTTCTACTGAACTCAGTGGGATTTACTTCTGAGCACACATGTCTAGGATCACACTGCCATTCCTCCCAATCCAAGTTTTTTGGGGGGAGTTTGCAAAACAGGGAAAAAAATGATGTTAAAAGATGGAAATTTTAGCAATGCAAAAATTACCATAGCTTGAAAATGTGACTCATTAGGTTTGATCCTCTGGTAATATGTTTTATGATGATTAATTTGTTGATTTCTAGGAAATCAATATGTTGATTCCTAAGTAACTTACAGAAATGTCTCTCAGAAAAGGCGGCGAGGAAACCGGTAAGTTTAATGTGAGAGACTATAAAGTGCCTTCTCACATCCATCTATGTACCACCTAGAAGCTGTTGACCTTAAATGTAATTCAACTCAGTATGCTGTGGAGGATTTGGGTTAAGTGGTATATAGCATTCTCCCTGTAAGTCAGCACAGCTTCATTGAAATGTATGGGCTCTGAGTGGACGTGTGCTGCTGAGATTGCTTTTCTGGGAAAGCATACTCGGACCAACACACCTGGAATGTAACCTTCTGCAGTTAAATTATTCTCCTAGCACACATATTTCTCACAGAGGACATCCTTTGGTTATCCAGTTTATAAAGAGCTGCAGAACTAACTTTGCCACCTCAGAGACACCCCTTCAGCTCAATCCAGTTTATTCTAAGGGTTTTGTCTTACGCTTGCTTTGGCAATTATGTGAGAATTACCAGCTAATCTAACCTTGGGGGGAGGGGGGGAATTCCTTCCTACTCCTGAATATGTTGATTTGTTAGATGCTCAGCATGTAAATGAGTCTTGTCTGATGATTCTCCCAGGAATGATTTTCTTTAGCAATTTAAGGCAGGGATGGGAGACCATTGGCCCTTCCCAACATTCTTGGGCTCTGAATCTCATCACAGCCCAGCCAGGATGGCCAAAGGTCAGGGATGAAAGGGGTTGGAATCCAACCACATCTGGAGAGTGACAGATTCTCCATCCCTGATTTAAGTTCAATGTCAGTGTGTAGTTATGGTCAGTTTAAGAGGAAGAGGAGGGGATCTTGGAATCTTAGGCTGCGGGGGCTTCTTAAATCACTATTGAGGCATCATATTAAATCCCAGGGTTAAAAAAAGAAATTCTATATACACATGGATGGTGTTGAATGAATGAGATTCCTTCCTTCCTTCCTTCCTTCCTTCCTTCCTTCCTTCCTCTTTCTTTCTTTCTTTCTTTCTTTCTTTCTTTCTTTCTTTCTTTCTTTCACAATAAACTCAATATTGGCAGCCTTGCTGGTGTCAGGGAGTGTAATCTGCATAATCCCATTTTCTCTTGAACCCACACCTCAGGCCACTCCCCGCATGTCTGGGCCACAGCAAGGTAAAGGCGACTATTGTCATGGAACTCAGGTGCCAGTGCCCAGTAGTCTGTCTCTGTATAGCAGATGGGATAATGTTACGCCTAGAAGTGACAATGAGGCTTGGGGGACATTTCTGGGCAGAAGGTCTTTTGTTCTCCCTTTCTACCTGAAGATGTGTCTGTATTCACATTCGCCAGCTTCTTTGTCATCCCCAGCCTTTCTTTATTTCTCTCTCTAGAGCTCCAATAAAACGGAACGTACTGTTTTATCTTCCATTGAAATGTGTTGCTCCACCCCAAGAATGGTTGCAAGATAGTTTCATTTACACAGGGAAATAGGTAAAAAAGGACAAAACTAAAACTGGGTAGCAACATTCATTCAATAAATTTTCAACCCAGCCTTCCTCCTGAAAGAACACAGGGTGACAAATATGTCAATAATATATTACAATTCAAACTTTTAAAAACAACCTCCTAAAAACAATTCAAAACATCCAACATCACCAATTCACTAATGTGGGCCTCCCCAGGTATGAAATTGTCAACAATAAATTCCCATTAGCGCTGCCCTCTCTTATCGTAGGTGTTGGATAAATACAGGACAATAATAATGATATGTAGCATTTAAGTAGCTCTTCTGAGTGTTTAGTGTGCTTTGCTTACATTTTCCCAGTAAACCTTATGGCAACTCTGTAAGGCAGTCAGGATTGTTACTTCTACTGTAAATAGGAGGCCAAGAGGTTAAAATTTGCTTAAGGCTACCTCATGAGATGATGGCAGAAGCAGAACTTCCTGCTTCATAGCTCAGCCACTCTAGCTCTGTGGGACGTTTATCTACTTGATGTTAGTCAATGCTGGTGTCCAGGGTGATATTTTGCCATGAGAGACTCCTTGCTGCCTCTGTCTGTTCACCTGTCTTCTCCAAGCATGCCAGCAGCAACAAGAGGCAGAAGGCGAGTGAACAAGAGCAGTGACAATGGCAATATGGAGGTGAGCACACTCCTAGAGGGAGGCCCATCTTGCTCAAGGGCTCCCACAGAAAACTGACGCCAGCAGTGCCTTTGCATCTCCCCGAAGCCCCCGTGTTTCTCAGAAAACCCTGACAAGGGCTTTCTGCGCTTCCTCGCTGTCCGCGACCCAAACCGGAAGCCCCCCCAAACCGAAACTGACGCCAGCATTGGCAATTGTATATATTATTTCACCGTGTGTGTTGGTTGCCATTGTGAATGTTGAATCTTAGCTAACAGAAGACTCCTGCTCATGTTAGACACAAGAATCAGGCCAAAGGCCCTTCTAGTCTAACATTGTGTTCTCACAGTGGCCAATGAATGCCAATGGGAGGCCTGCGACTTGGGATTCCCAGCAAATGGTATTAAGAGGCATGTTCCTTCTGACCGTGGAGTGTCTATTTTATCTGGCAAAACTCTGTTTGGATTAGGAAGTGGTTTCTGACAACCATGCAAGTGTGTACTGAAATTTGAAAATTTAAATATCTGAAATACTTGGGCTGTGCTGTGTCCATAAACAAATATACAACATCGATCTGTGATAATGTGCACCGCGACATATGTTTTAAAATCAAAAGTGGAAAAGTTGAGAGATGAGAGTTGGAATCCAGCAACATCCAGAGAGCCACAGGCCTCTCACTCCCGTGCTATATTATCCAGTGTGGTCCTGTTCTTTACAAGAGAATTCCACAAGCCCCTTTGCTTTCTCATTCTCTAGATGACACCTGTCATGTAGAGCCTTAAAAGCTCTCACAGCTTCTCCCCCTTAATCCCCGCCCCCAGGATCATTACAAGAGCTGGCTGATATTTCTCGTCTCATTTGATCATGGCCTTTATTTCTGCTCTCCAAGGAGCAGGTTTGTGACTGTGACAATAAGAGGTGGCGTTGGGAAGAAGCTGAAAGGACCCAAGCCAAGAACCATCAAAGCTCCAAGCAGCAGCAGCAGCAACAACAACGGAAAGCAGTGCTTTGAATAATCTCATGAATCAAGCATGACATTATCTAGAGTGAAATGCCTGGGAAGGGGTTTCCCATGTACTGCTCTGGCCTGAAAGGTTGAATCCATGGGGACCTTTAAAGCTTTTTTAAAATGCAAAAGACAAAAGCTAAATCAGAAGGAAATGATATTTTATTTAACCTTGGGTGTCTGGGGAGCTAGTGACAGGATCACAAGAGATAATGCCATGGGATTGAGAATAGATAACTCAGCAACATATGGGGCTTTCGCCTAAGCAGCGTTATGTACCACAAAGAAGCCAATTCCACACACACACACCCCACTCTACCAGGCTTTTGAAATGCTGTCACTCACTTCCAAGGCGTGAGAGCGGAGGATCTCGCAGAATACACACTGCTAGAGGAATGAGTCTGTTTAAAAAATGATAGTGGAACTGCATTGCTTTGAGGGAGCAAGGAATTTGCCTTTGGGAAAGCGGTGCTTCCCACTAATGTATTTACAAATTGGGAGCCGCAAAGCCTGAGTTCCTTTAGGGCACTGGGTGTTGGAATTCTGCCTGGGTCAGAGGAATGTGCCACAGCGTAGGCACCGGCAGATATTCCTGTCGACCTCCCCGCGTCTCCACTCTGCTGATAAGCAGGCGAGGTCCGGCGATTCTTCTCAGATGTATGAGAGGAACACACCGTTCTTCCTCTCTCCCCTTTGGTGTCCCCAGGGAGGGAAAGAAGCAGACAGAAAACTATTTACATCATTTATTTCTGCCTCTTACATCAGTACAGAGAATCATGTCTGCACTCAACAACAGCAAGAAGAAACTCCTCCCAAGTACATCCAGTACGGGTCATATGACACACACACACTGAGCTAACATCCGGTGCTCAGTACAGAATGGACTGCCCCTTTGTTCCCATGGCAACAGTCACAAACATCCTGCCTGGCTTTCCAGCCACAAGCAGCTGGCTGAGCTGCTAGAGCCTTTGCTTGCTGCAGCATTGGTGCTTTATGGTAACATACTCCCCCTAAAGTATCAATGTGTGCTGCGAGCAAAGCGTCATCCAGAGAAGAAAACAAACAGTTGTTATATTTATAACATTCCCCTGTTGTTTCAGTTCCACCCTTGGAACTACCCGCCACTGGTTTAACCAATGTACCTCTCTGGTTGTGTGACTTCGCATTACCTTGGTTAACACCTCTCTGTTGTGCCTTTGTCTCTGACTCAGACACAGCTTCAAGCTGTCCTTGGTCGTTTACAATAGCAACATATGCAAGGTTAGCAAACTCCTTTGAATACCTCTTGGGTGGTACACCCTTCGTTGCTCTCTCAGACCTACGTATGAGGTTCTGATCCTCTGTGCTCACTGGTTCAACCTTTGGACTCTGTTGAGAACCAGTAGCAATCAGTGGTTCTTCCTTCACCTGTGAAGGTCTATCCATTGTGTGAGATTTCCTCTCAATGACTGTGACAACTGAACTCTCTGAGCTCTCACTGTCATCATCAGTACTACTGAACTCAATAAGATCAAACTCATCATCATCATCATCAGAATCGTTTCCTGTGGGAAATGTCTGTACTATCCGCTCTTGCTTTGGAGCACTCTCTAGGAACTTTGTGAGAATCACCTGACCAGATTCAGACAAAATTACTCTGTAGAGACCTTTTTCATAACCTACGAAAATGCCTCTGGCATTCTTTACTCCACCTGGAGCTTCTGTTCTCACATGAGACCCGAAAACCTTAAAATAGGCAACAGAAGGTTTTCTATTGAACAGCTTCTCAAAAGGAGAACATCCCAACTCTGTTGAGACCTTTCTCAACCACACATGAAGATAGGACGCTAGCGACTCAGCCCAATATTCATGTGGCAAATGTGAACTCAGCAATTGCGCATTCATCCCCTTTTGCAATTCTTTGTTCACTCTTACACAGACCCCCCTGTTCCACGCTTCTTGCGAAACAGCCACTTTGTGGTCTATCCCTTTTCCATCCAGGAACTTCTGAAACTTCTGCAACAGAAAAATTTGCTTCTCATCTGTGAAAAGACAATCAATGTTAGCATCATGCATACTTTTAACCTTGTCACAAAACTCCTGAAACTTTTCTAAAGTTTCTTGCGGTTTCTCCATCATATAAACCCAAGAATAATTAGTGAAACAATCCACACACAAAAGGTAATATTTTGCACCGCCTCTAGATGGTTCTAGAGGACCAATCACATCAGCATACACCCGCTGAAATGCTCTGTCGACCTTCTTGGTCTTAGTCACCTTCCTGGTGCTCACACTGGTCACTCCTGCAAGAGAGATTTCGTTAGAAACAGAAGAATTACATTTCATGTAATCACTTTGATCAAAAGTCAACAAATACAGTCCATCTTTCTCTTTGGCAGTAAGAAACAGTTCTCCATCTTTGTAGATCTTGCAGCTTTTAGCATCATAGGACAGTTTCAGTCCTTTCTTTGCAATCTGCGACACGCTCAGCAGATTAAATCTCAGTTCTGGAACCAGGTAAACATCACTTATAGTCAAGTTCAGACTCTCAAGATACACAGTCCCAATTCCAGTCGCTTCCAACTCCTGACCGTTGGCCTGTTTCACAGTGAAGCTTTGCTTCTTCAACGTCGAAAATAGTCCTCTGTGCGGGCACATGTGAACCGTTGCGCCCGTGTCAATTATGAACGAGTTCCCAACATCTGGCGTGGTTCCTTTCGCCATCATAGCCTTTGCAGGTTTCACCTGGCACTTGGAACGGCTTTTGCCTGACGCCTGAGGCTTCGTAGAGCTGCTCTTTGCTCCTCTTGACTGGCGCGGCTTCTTACAGTTTCGCTGTAGATGCCCAGTCTGTCCACAATTGTAGCATCGGACAGCACTCAATGCTACACCATGCTCTCCAGTAGCATCAGCAGTGGGGAATTAGAACTCTGTTCTTCCCTCCCCCTGTCTTTTTCTTCCAGTGCAGCAAGTCTGTCGTGTTCATTCAGGACCACAGCACAAACTCTCTCCGCGGTCAGCTGCGCGGCCGGTAGGGAACCAAGCTGACTGGCAACAACCTTGTAGGTGCGGCTAAGGCTGTTTATCATCATGAAGCAAAACACTTCCTCCTGAAGACGGAAATTGCGTTCCACCATCTGTTGACGCAGAAACTTCATTTCTGTCAGGTGCGCTTGAACATCTCCATCAGGCGCAAGTCTCAGATTGGTCAATTTCTCAAAATACAGCAACGCTGAAGAACCAGCATCTCTCTGATGCGTTGTACGCAGCGTGTCCCATACCTCTTTCGCATTTTCTAAATGCTGAACATGCACCAACTGATCATCTGAGACACACAGAATTATAGCAGTCCTGGCCCTTACATTCTGTGACTCCCAACCTCTGGTTGGTGCTGCAGGGATGGGGTTTTCAATTACATCAAAAAGCCTCTGATTCTGCAGCAGGGCCTTCATCTTTACAGACCAAGATGAATAATTGTCATTGGTTAAGGGAGGTGGGCAAGGCAAACCTCCCCCTTTCTTGGCATCCATCTTGAAGCCAAGCCTCTCTCACCTCCAAACAAGCTGCAAAATCCAACAGCAGTTTTTTCTTTCTCACGCAGGCAAACTGCAAGTTGTTTGTGCTTTTTGCACCTGGCAGCTAAACTCAGGCTGCTATTGAAAAGTCCCTTCCAAGAGCTCGTAAACCTTGTAGCCGAAACATTCTTTGATTTTGTTTCGCTTTCCCAGGCTCACACTCAGAGTCCAGCCCCTTTGCCAGTAACTTTCCAGGACCGTTGCCTAGCAACAATGCATTTCAATGGGACTCCTTATCTACCACAAAAATTTGTGGAATGCAGGCTTCAGCCTTCAAGCTGCAGGCCTCTTCCTCCGGAGCTCTTGTTTTCTTTGAAACGCAGCTCCGTGAACCAGGGAATTAATCTTCCTGCGTTCACACTTTTAGCCCGAAATGCAGCATACCTTGAACTTTGTTGCTCTGGAAAAACACCTCTTCTTTCCACCAGCTGTCTGTGGAGCCTCTGGCTTCTTTCAGACGCTTTTCTCTTCCTCCTTGGAGCAGAGGAGGACAATCCACCAGCCTCTCATGCAGAGGTCCGATGGATCGGAACCATCGACTGCTACCACTGTTGGAATTCTGCCTGGGTCAGAGGAATGTGCCACAGCGTAGGCACCGGCAGATATTCCTGTCGACCTCCCCGCGTCTCCACTCTGCTGATAAGCAGGCGAGGTCCGGCGATTCTTCTCAGATGTATGAGAGGAACACACCGTTCTTCCTCTCTCCCCTTTGGTGTCCCCAGGGAGGGAAAGAAGCAGACAGAAAACTATTTACATCATTTATTTCTGCCTCTTACATCAGTACAGAGAATCATGTCTGCACTCAACAACAGCAAGAAGAAACTCCTCCCAAGTACATCCAGTACGGGTCATATGACACACACACACTGAGCTAACATCCGGTGCTCAGTACAGAATGGACTGCCCCTTTGTTCCCATGGCAACAGTCACAAACATCCTGCCTGGCTTTCCAGCCACAAGCAGCTGGCTGAGCTGCTAGAGCCTTTGCTTGCTGCAGCATTGGTGCTTTATGGTAACACTGGGTTGCAAGTGATAAAGTTCCTTATTGGAGAAATAATCACACCTTGCAGATCTTTTATAACTTGTTGCATACCCTGCAGCAGAGGGTGCGACCACAAGGCATCTGACCTCAGACCCAGTCTACACATTACATTTTTTTTATCTTGCCCTTCCTCCAAAGAGCTAGTGGGGTAGAAATGGTTTATCCTCACAACAATCTTGTGAGGTAGGTTAATAAACTATAATTGCGCATACCTGAATGCAGGTATGTGATTGAATCCCATCCCCAAATAGCAACAGTCTGGAAGCATCCTAAAGGCCTCTTGGAACAGAAAAAAATTAACTTTGTCTGAAACAACATCAAGAAGAGAGTAAGAGAAACATCTGAAGGCTATGGGGTAGCCAAGCCTCAGATGCCCATGAGACTTACTACAGGGCCTCTCTAGATGATATTGGATACAGACTCATATGATCTGTCATTGGACAGTCACTTAGGTATCCTGGTTCTATGTCTGGTCTAGGTATTATGTGCAAATATGTGTAGTGATACCCCAAATGATTTGTTTTTATTTTTGTGATGAGCAGCTTCAGGATGCTTTCGGTTTCTCACAGGTGTGAGAAACCAACAGTTTTGTACCAACTGCATTGGCTGCCTATAAGTTACTGAGCACAATTCAAAGTGCTGTTTATGACTTATGAAGCCCTACATGATTTGGGAACGGGTTATCTGATTATCTGATTGTTCCTTATAATCCTGACACTTGAGATCTTCCACAGAGACCCTTCTTGCTGTCCCTTCAGTTATTTATAAGGTGTCAACATGTGATTTTTCTGTGGCAGCCTCCCTCCTCTGGAATTCCCTCCCTCAGGAGATCTAGACAGTTGCTTCACTGAATTGCCATTTTGGAACTGAGGCTCCATCTGCACTATACATTTTAAGCAGGATCATACCACTTTAAATCGCCATGGATTCAAAGTTCTCTGGGAAGAGAGATTGACTGCAAAAATACTTGGCTGTTTAAATTGATATGATCCTGCTTTAAATGTATAACGCAGATGGGACACAAGTCAACAAGCATGGCTACAGCAGCCCAGGATTTGTACTTTTTTTTCTTCATGCCTCTCACCCCTGCTTTTTGCAGCATCTTGCCTGCAAGCTTGCTACATTTTTGTGACATTTTGGTTGATGCTAATAAAGGTATTACCCATCTGTGGATTTCGAAGTTTTCACTGCTTGTGAAGAAAGTAAAAAACTTTTAATTCTGACCAGGCTTTTGAGTTATTTGGGTTGCTGTGAGTTTTACTGGGGTTTTTTTAATGTTATGTTTACTGTAACTGTATGCTGCTCTGTTTGTCTTAGGGAGGGAGAGTAGGATATAAATGGTTTCAAAGAAACAAAGTACAGTAAGTTTGAACAGAGAAGTGGCAAGGTGTGTTGGTGCTTAACTCTCTCTCCCTGTGCACCATTTCCCAAAGCCGTTTGGCTGCCTACACATGACACTTTATTCTAGAGCCAATGGAAATTGAGTTCTTGCATTTTCTAAGTCCACATGCCATCTAGATCTATTGCATTTTTCTCAGCCTGACCTACCTCATAGGGTTGTTGTGGGGATAATGAAGAGACAGAGAACTACGTATACCACACAGAACTGCTTGGAGGAAACAAGAGCTATAAATGTAATAATAAACAAATAATGGAAGAAACACACAATACTATTTTACTTGAAACTTCACCCTGTGGCAGATGATGATGATGATGTGTGTGTAGTTTCATGATGAGATATTTGTTTCATATTTCTATTTTGGTTTTAATACAGTTCATAAGGCAAGTTGCCTGAGGAAAACAAGGGATAAGTAAAACTGCCGCTAGCTGGGGGTGAGACCATTCTGGGTGGCCTCGGCAACTGTTGCCAAGGGAATCAGCATGCTGAAAAAGTGACAGTTGGGGCAGTGTGGCCGGAGAGAGAGAAAAGAGAAGAAATGGAGAATAAAAATTGTTTTAACAAAGTGCTTGTGTTGTAGACACAAATTGTGAAGCTGGAGTGTGGTCTTCTTCCTGTCACATGCCTTTTTTTATTCTCCAGTGTCCTGACTGTGATCCTGTTTGAGCACCTGAGGGACAACAATCACTGTCTGATACACCTTTTCAACTATTTCTGTCTGTGCAGTGCCTCTTAGCAGTTTCCCTGTTCCTAACACCAACTTCTGCTACTGCTTCAACAGATCTCTCTCTCTCCTCCACCCCCCAGTGTTGAATCGACTCTTTTATCAATTTCTCTCCCAATCCCCCTAGAGCCTAACCATCTTTTTACCCAGGCAGTACCTCTATTCTGGTTTTGCATATCTACCTACCCTTTCTCTACTTCTAGGTTCTTGTGGCTTTTTCTTCTGCTTCCCAGGTAATATTTATTAGGGTTTCAAAAGAACAGAGTTAGAAAACAGAAAAACACTACAGGCAAAATAAAATTGTCACAGCTTGGAGAAAGTGATGACGGTAATTCACAATGCCATATCAAATGGGTTTTGGTGGTTTTTTTTCCATTAAGAGAAAAGAAGTGATCTGGGGTAAATAAAGTGTGTTGCAGCCTGTGTGACTCTTGGGCCGGTCACTCCCTTTGTAGTCTAACCTACTTCACAATAATGTTGCGATGGTAATGTTGGAAAATGAGAAAGAACCATGGAGGCTGCATTGAGCATCTCAGTGGGAAGCTGTGCAAGGTATGTATGTAAAATTAATAATAGATTTTTTTTAAAAAAAAAACTTTTGTGTTGGATTAAATTTATTTCTTTTCATATTTGTGGGCTGCCTTGTGCATTGTATAGTAGTGGCTAGGCAAGATTTAAAAAAATCTTAATAGGTAAGGTAAAGATAAAGGGGGACCCCTGACAATTAGGGGTTGCGGCACTCATCTCGCTTTATTGGCCAAGGGAGCCGGCGTACAGCTTCCGGGTCATGTGGCCAGCATGACTAAGCTGCTTCTGGCTAACCAGAGCAGTGCATGGAAACGCCGTTTACCTTCCTGCCGGAGCAGTACCTACCTACTTATCTACTTGCACTTTGACATGCTTCTGAACTGCTAGGTTGGCAGGAGCAGGGACCGAGCAACGGGAGCTCTGATCGGCAAGCCCTAGGCTCTGTGGTTTAACCCACAGCGCCACCCGCGTCCATAACAGGTAGATAGTGACAAAATCAAGTCAGTTGTCTTACATCAGCTTTAAATGTATTAAGCAAATCTACAAGCAATAGAATATAACTGTTTTGTCTTGGCGTTTGCGTATTACCTCTGTCCACTATATCCACTTCTGTAATCTGCTGCTAACATGCACATGCAGAAAAAGCATTTCTCAGCATATCCCACCATCTGATCCTGGAAACTTACAATCCATTTTCAGGACTGAGCAGATAAGTGATTATGTGTCCATTCTTGCGTGCCACCAATCTTGAATACTTGGAGACTTGTACAGGGCATGACCCTTGATGCCCGTACAGGCCTTTTAGATTTTCCACTGCCACCAAACCTGTTTGACTGAATTGCAGGTTAAAAAGGCATTGCATCTGTAATTCTTGAGCTTTAAGGAGCATGTCCTTTCCCTTAATGAAATACCCTGCCTGTTCCATTTGTAAAGAAACCAAAGACTCCTAAGGTTTATGATCAAGTTGTAAAGATTTTATTTACCCCATATTTCCTGCTGGGTTATTTATGAGGCATTTTGTCAGACCTCATAAAGCTGCCTAGTAAAACATATTTTCTTACAACAAAAATAAAGTCATTTGTGCAAAACATCTTGGGACCACAGAGGGCAGACCTGATGGGATACACACACGTTCAGACATCATGGACAGGGGGTACCCCCACTGAACTTTGTTGAGTCCCATTATTTAATTATAGTTTTCAAAGACTAAAATTTAGTAACTAAATCCCGGTATGATGGATTGGGGGGGGAATGATCTGTAAAATGGAAAAGAATCATCTATTTAACTGGTGCAAAAATTGGGACTCACGTTACAGAAAACTTTAGTTCATATTGGTGTCTAAAATCTATGCTAACATGTCAAATCTAATCTATGTCCTTTTTTCTACTTCTTCTCAATCTTCAAGATTTCTTGGTACATCTACAGTTATCAAAAGAACCAGAATAGAAGCCCTCATATATCTGAGGACTGAAAGCTTAACAATACTTCCCTGGGAGTAAGTTCATTGAACTTTAGCCTCTGGATAAACATACGGTACATATATGACTGAGCTGCTAATGCAGTAATCGCCAGACTTGGGCTGCATACATAACATACATTTTAAGTGCCTTTAAAGCACATTGCCCCACAAAAAAATCCTAGGAACTCTAGTTTGTTAAGGGCGCTGTTGATTGCACCTTTGTGAGGGGTAAACTACAGTTCCCAAGAATCAGGTATGTGTGTGCAGGCGCCTTGGATTTTAAAAAAGTAAAACGCTCTATTGATTATGTTTAGTTGAAAATAAGTTCTATTGATTTCAGTGGGAGTTATTTTCAAGCTAAGCATGCTTAACGTTACAGTCCTTGTCCCACTGACTTCAAACTAGTGACTATTTGTTCTCAGAGAGAGGTTTTTAGGGGGGCAGAGGAGGGAATGTCCCATTCTGATGTCTAACTAAAAGTTGTGATCTTCTTCTTTCTCTTTAGCCTCTTGAGAGGGCTAGTGTAAAATTCTCTACCGTATATCTGAATGCTTGCAAATCTCACTGGCGTGTCACTCTTCAGAACAGCTGGCTCCTCCGTTCCAAATTTGGCATCAATCCTGTGTCAGGAGTAGAAGAAGGGAGCTTCGACTGAGGGTGATAAGCAAATCAAAGAAGTCAAGTGTAAGTAATGACTTGCAGTGGGTCTCTTCAAACTGCCAGAAGTCAAATTACTCCCATCAGAGGAGCAAAATATAAAGGGGGGGGGGAGAGACAAAGCTGAGCATTAGTCTTTTTCTGTAGCAGAATGTGCTGTTTTACTACTCTTACCCTCCCTGCCAAGTGGCATCAACAGCCAAATCATTCCCATTGACACAAGGATGCCAGTTGTTGTGAAGCCAGATAAAGACCTTCTGCTGGGCAAGGTCCTTCAGTGATATTTCATTTGAAAAACCAGTGCAAGGCCTTGGGCCTTCCCACTGCAATAGGAGCAGATGACCGGCAAGGACTGTCCTGTTTCTGACTGGGATTCATTTACGGTAAATAGGATTTGGGATTCCGAAAAGATTTAGAGGAGATTCTATCCTTAAGCTTTATTTCTCAGAATCATTTTGTATGTTCAAAATTGTTAACCCAGCCTCATCCGAACTCCTTTTACTGCCTGGGTATGTGGAACAATCCAGAAAGTAATGTTTCCTCACTGGTCTGGTCTGGTGGTTTCCCTATAGGCTAAATATACTATTTTCTATGATGATCACAGAGTTGAGATCTATCAAGAGCTCTGTGCAGACAATTAAATGTGGGGATAATCCATGTCAGCGGAAGATTTGGGGCAAATTTCAGTGGTGCCCTGTGCAGTGCTAAAATTGGGTCCCCCCCCACCTCTTGTGCTCTGTTCTATAACATTCTTGTGGCACCTTCCAGAGTTGCCCAGGATGGCAAACAACAAAATGGCAAGACAATACAATTTTAAGACTAAAAAATAAAATATTTAAAGCATCCAAAACTATTTATAAACAGCCACATATCTTCATAGCTAATAATTTCAAGGTTGCCAGGAATAGTATCTTTCAGCCATCAAATGCCTAGGTAAAGCTGAAGGAAGAATGTTTTGAAATTCCACCTGAATGTTAATAAGGAGGAAGATAGCTGCATCTCACTAGGAAGCAGGAGTGCCAACTTGGCCCCGCGACCGTGGGTGCCAGGGACTGTGGGTGCCAGGGACCAAAATTTGTGGGTGCCTGGCCTCTTCATGGGGAATTTTGTGGGTGCTTGGGCCCCCAGGCTTCCAGAGAGATGGCACCTAAGGCAGGAAGGGCATTCCACAAGCAGGGAACTACCACCAAGAAGACCCCGCTCTGGGTCAGCACCAACCAGGCAGCACCCAGCAGCAGCAGCTCTATCAACAGGGCCTCTCCTTCTGATCGTAGGGACTGAGGTGATTAATACTGTGGGAAGGGCTCTTTTGGGTGCTTGGATTCCAAGCCATTTAGAGCTCTGTATGCTAGTAATAACAACTTGAATTGAGCCCAGTAGCTCACTGCAGCCAGTGTAACATTTTCAGGACCTTTGATGCATTGACCCATCAGACTGTCCCACCCACCAACCTAGCAGCCTCAATTTGACCTCACTGCAACTGCTGGGCTGCCTTCAAGTGCAGCCCCAAGTAGAGTGCATTGCAGTAGTCCAGGTGGGAGGTCACTAGAGCATGGACAAATAAAGGGCTATCTGTTCCAAGTCTGTTATAAAGAGCTTTACAGTTCAAGTTTGGTTTAAATCTTAAGAAGGGAAATAAAGCACCTTGAATTTTCCCATAAACAGTTAACACTTAAGCAGCACATAGCTCATCTGGTTATGGTCTTCCCCATTATGGCAAGATGTATTGTATTTATGTTTAAATTATACTAATTGTTTCTAAATGTGCATCAGTACCTATAAATTAGCATATGCAAATTTAATGCATTTTTTGGGCATATTTCTTCTCTTTTTAGGTGTTGCATTTCCTCATTTTGGGTGACGCAGAATGGACACTCTATGTACAATAGCAAAAAGAAGAGTTTGTGAATCTTTCCATTACATTCTCAATAAAATAAATAAACATTTAAGCCTCTAGACTCTCAAGTGACATATACAGAGACTAAATATATGCTGAAGCTCTAAATCCTTGGATTAGTTTTGTTTCCTAGAAAAAGAAGCTGAAATTTCTCTTCTTTCAGTATCAATCATACCAGTTTTTCTCCTGAAGAGTTCTTATCAGCAATACCATTGCTATATTTACAAAGCTGCTCTTAAAGAAAACAGGGAAAAAAAACATTTAGTTTTGTTGGCACTTACACAAAAATGTAAAGAATGCAAGCAGTAAAAAAAAATAAAAAATCCCTAGCACAAGCCTGTAGGAGCTTCCTTAATGCATATTTACATTTCAGAAAGCAACTGCTTGCCCACATTGCAGAGTGTTTAGGGAACTTCTATTTTACGTCTTAGCCCTTGTTAAAACTGGACAATAGGGCGCGACAGAGAATAATTTTGCTCAAGCACAGATCAATGCATCCTAATGGTTAGAGTTGTGCTTTTCAAATTTACCACCTTAGAGAATCCTTTCCACTTCAATTTATCTGCTGAGGAACCTCTGTGAGTTTCAAAGGATTTTGGGATATGTCATAGGCTGTAAAATTAGCTTACATGGGAGTATTGGTCTGTCTGGCCTATTGACACTAGTGCAGTTAGGTAATTTTAGACTCTGAAATTAATAGCTTTACGGGGCCCCTGTCTTTAGATAGGAATCCCATTAATTCACAAAATTTAGAAAGTGGTATACCAGCCCTGCGGCATTTTTGGGCACTTCTGTTCATTTTGCTAAATGGGGCCTGGACATCTCCCCCAAAGTCCTGCCCTGACAGCACCATTGCTTATTGGGTCTCATTGTTGCTCCTTGTGAACCCAAAGTACGCCAGAGGGAAAGGAGTGGCAGAAGGTAGATCACGTTCTCTGTGATTTATGCGAGGTGGCCTTTGAGAAGGGCCCCAAAATGTCAGCTTGTTCAGAATATAGTAGCTAGGCTGTCAACGGGGACAAAAGACTCTGTTCACATCATACCAGTCCTTGCCCATCAGCATTGGCTGCCAATATGTTTCCTAGCAATTCAAAGTGCTGTTTTTAATCTCTAAAGACCATGGCTTAGGGCCCTAGTACCTGAAGGATTGTCTCTTCCCATCAGAACCTGCAAGAGAGATTCCCCTGGTGGGGCAGAGCTGCAGTGGTATCATCCAGGAAGCAGCATCACTGCCATGTACCTGGAGGGGTGAGACACTGCTGAAGTTGGGACTGATTGGGTGTGCCAGCAGAGCCAACCTGGTGCTCCTGTTGATGCATCTGTGCAGCCTGAACCTCACTGTTTCCTTGCCCCTTCCCTTCCTGGTACATTGCAGTACTGGTGGGAGGCTATTACTGCAGTTGTGAGTCGAGGACCCGCCACCCACATAGGAGGATAAGACGACACAAAGACACATTATTTTAGGTTAATGGGCAAAATTAGGCCACAACTTTTATTGGTTACAGCATGTGAGTAGTATTGGCTTAGGCATTGGATGAAACAGCAATACAAGACTCCGCCCCGCACAGCCGGGAGTCATATCAGGGTTAACAACCAATGGGAGGAGCTTGTTGATGCAAATACAACTGGAAGCTCCCCCATGACATCACCGGGGGACGTGCCATGGCCCTAGCCACCAACAGGGCATCGGACAGGACATACGACCGCCGGATTCCTTTAATGGAATACCCAAAAGAGGATGGGTAGATGATGGCCCATACCCAATCCTCCAACACAGCACACATATTCCAATGCCTAACCGCCAACACCAGAAAGTTGTGACGAATTGCTACGAGGTAGGCGAAAAAACCAAGAGGCTGGTGACAATTTGCCAAATGGATAAAAAAGTCCTACCAGACCCCTTGGGCAACCAAGGCAACCAACCGAAGTCCATAGCAAGGTCAATATGCAAAAGAAGCTGACCTAAGAGGGAGGGCGGGTGGGAGATCCAAAGAAAGCAGAAACAGACTGGGAGCTGAGCGCTGCAGCGGCTGTTTAAATGCAGCTAGCCCCGCCCACCAGCCGGCCCTATTGGTTGGCTGGAAGGCTTGGCCGCGGCAGCAGAAGCAATCAGGAGCAGGGAGCCGAGTATGCCTCCCTGCCCCAGCGGGAAGCTGCTCCTGCTCACAACCCCTCCCCTCTCAGAGGAGGAAAGGCCCTCTACCCCACCAGGTGAGTTGTCCCTGCCGACCTGGGTCAGACCAGCACTGGAAGCCCTCCTCTCTCAGTCAGGGCCTTCTGAAGTGTAAATGGTGGCAATGAAAAAGAGACTCTTTTCAGTGGTTCCCCTCACCCATGTGGGGAATAGTCTCCCCAAAGAAACTTGCCTGGCAGGCCTTTCTCTCAGGATCTTTTCAACAGCTTTTTGGAACACTAAAAAAAAAAAAGGTAGACCATTTTGATCATTTTATTACTTTGTTCCCTGTGATATTAATCTTGTCTCGTGTGTTCTACTGATTATCAGTTGTACGGTTATTTTGATCTGTGGGATTCTTTTGATATGCTCTACATCACCTACAGGCTGTAGCAACTGATGAGGAATAAATCAAATTATTACTAATAATAATTATGCGGGCAAAGCAGGTGTTCTACCAATGGCCTACAACGCTTCCCCAAACACCCACAGAAGCATAGGAAGCTGTTAAGACCACTGGTGTATATATACAATACCGTATATACAATGTACTTTAGTAGCCTTCCCATAGTTTCAAGCAGGGTTCATTGTCAGCCTTGCCTGGAGATGTCATGGATTGCATGTGGGACTGTCTGGAATAGATGCAGAGCATATTCTCTGCCACTGAGCTGCTGCTTCCCACCCCTGCCCCAGAACACTTCCAGGACTCTGTTGTGGCAATGGATTTCAGAGAAAGATTGATATGTTGGACAATCCACCTCTTAGAGAAGCTGTTTGGCCATTACCAATCTTCTGACTGAGGAATGCCTGGTAAGCTTCCAAGGGTCCTCAAAAAAAGCGATTGAAAACCACTGGCTTAGAGGAACAGGAATGTATACTGTAAGTTTCAGTAATTCAGGAGCCTGTTCTGAGGTTCTTCATCGCTGGCAACTTTCCCATATGTATGAGCTCACAGGATG